CAAACTCTACCATTTTGATAAAAAAAGATAAAACTGTACTTTTGTCTTCATTTACGAGAACCCCTTAGACAGAAAATTTGAATTTAAGTAAACTTAAATTCCTCATCTCAAAAATAGAGCATGATCTTTATTGTGCATTGCTTTCTACCACTGCATTACATGTACCTCTTTATTTAATGGTGGCCTTGGCTTTCTCTTGTATTTTCTGTATGCTTATGTGCAAAAAGTTTTGAGTGGCTTAGTTACTGTACTTTTTGAGGTGAAAAACTTTAGTTATCAGTGGTTTGATGCATTGGTGCATTTTTATCGTCGGGTTTTCTAATTTTTACTTCCTCGACACATAGTTTTGTTACAGAGAAGAAATAGTAGTGCCAAAGCCTTTGTCTGAATTCAAAACAAAAACAACAATCCCAGATACAAATACTTGAGCATGTGGATCCATAAATAAATAAACTCTCCATTAGCAATAGTTCAACTTCCCCTTAGCTTTACATTAAAATATATTTGTACTATTGTTGGTAGCTTACTATCATCACGCAGTCTTCTGTCTTTTAAATGTGTTGAGGGTGAAACTACTGTGATAATGTTAATTACGGAGAGTCTAAATGAACAACTGGTCAAGGTTTTCAAATCACTAATTTCAGGGATGGTTCTTCTCTAGCTTTGCCTCTATGGGTAGATAAATTAAACTGTATTCATTGTTAGGAGTTTGTATTAAACAGAACCTTGCCCCCGCTGTTGGCCATTTAGCAAGAGTGTAGTAATTAACCTAAACTGTTCCTAATTAATACATCATTAAATTCACACTAGCCACTAGTAACATTGTATCTACAGGACAATCTTCCAAATGTCATAATTTTCAACAAGGGGAGTTAAATGGAAACTACCAATTTTGTCTGTATATATATGGCAAACCTTTGACTCCAAACTCATAGAATCATAAAGCCAATTTTGTTAAATGCCATGAATCTATTTTTTGAAGTATTTTGATAGTTTCATGGTGGGCCATCCTGTCCAAACGGCTCATCAAACAGGGTTTGCACAGTCTTGGAAAGTCTTTGAATTTTAAGGGAAGTCATTGAATAGTCCTTAAATTCCATTTTCCTTGAAAAGTCCTTAAATTTTCTTCAACTTTAAATGTAGTGACCTGGAAAGTGTTTTTTAATGCTTTTTGGTTGTCAAAGACAGAATCTAAATCATAGCTCAGAGAAGTTAATGGTGATTTGCACAAAGTGTTTTTTGTTTTATGCAATAGTTAACTATCAATAATATTTAAGACAAGTGAACTGAAAAGTGTAGGGAAGTTGGTGGAGCAAACAGTTCAAGCCTTAAAAAGTCCTGTTAGAGTGGACTGGGAATGTGCATTTTTGTACAATCTGTGAAATTACATTCCTGGTAGGTGGTCCTTGAAAATCAAATGTGGTCCTTGAAAAGTCCCAAAAAATGGTTGCAGTTTTTTGTATGAACCCTGCTAAAGCAATAGTATCATTGGAAACCATGGATCCCTTTTTAAGTGTCTTGTTAGTTACTATGTATTGACGAATCTATCAGCTTTGTTCCAGCTTCAAGTTAATCCTGATAGTATTGCCATCTTGGATATCAGTTCAAAACATGCATTTCTCAATAATTAGCAGTCAAGGTTTTGGCCTATTCTCAAGTATCAGTTGACCCCTCTTGTCTAGACCACTGGGATTACTTGTATGTGTCAATCGTATTTTTACATTGTAAATCTATGGACAAAATTCTCTGGTGTTACCATTCAGATGAAACCTCTTCAACAGAACTTTTAGGTAGTCAAGGCTGTTGCCTAACAGGAGCTCGGTCACCAGAGGTGCCTATGATTTACCCTCGGGCAACCAAAATTTCAAACAGGGAGCCCGTATGGGCAACTTAAACTTATGATTTTCAGTATAACTTCCAGTGAGCAAACAACAAAATTCCCTGCTCATTTGGCACTTTTGAAACGATAATGGAAAATGTTTGATCGTCGGCCATAGGCAAAAAAATATTTCCGCTGATAAAAGGTAAACAAACAAGCACTGTGTCTTGAAATTCACTTCTGTGACTTCCGCTGCTGAGCAGTTGAAGTTTCTCATCTGAAAATGGCATCAAATGAATGTAATAGTCTTCGAAAAACCTTTGATAATAAAATCATGTTTTCCCCTTCAACGTTAGATACGTTAGGTCACTACCACATGAAGTAAAAACTGATAAAAAGTCACAATCTGTGGAAATAGAAGCTGGTTTCAAATTACATGTGACATACGGTACACGAACAGTACACTTGGACGTTTCTTTTATCATTTATTCAGCGTTATCTGTGCCTCCATATTTTTTGCTGTATGTTTTGTGGTAACTTTTGAAAGGCTCACAAAAACATTCCAGTTTTTGAAAATGATTCACAGTCATGTTTACATTTCAGCATGAGTCAGCAGATTTGCATCAGTTACTAAAATCATAACATATGTCAAAAAGCTACTACTATTCGCCATATTTTTTTCTATTTTCTCTACGTTTTTGGATTACCATGAATAATTAATTAGGTCATGTTTACATTTCAGCATGAGTCAGCAGATTTGCATCAGTTACTAAAATCATAACATATGTCGAAAAGCTACTACTATTCGCCATATTTTTTGCTGTATGTTTTGTGGTAACTTTTGAAAGGCTCACAAAAACATTCCAGTTTTTGAAAATGATTCACAGTGGCTATTCAAGATCATATTTCAATCTCTTTTTAATTTACGCCATCTTGGCAACGCACGTAAATACAAACCTTCACAAATTTCACAAATTGTATAAAATTCTTTTATACAATTATGGTATAAAATGATTGTTTAATTACTTCGGCGGAGCGCGAAGTAAAGGATTCGTGACGCTCAGGAATGTATCAAAGTTGCAATTTTTTGACAAGATTGGGCAAGTAAAGTCTGTAGGTTTTCGGTTCTATTCGGCTATTTGACGAAGTGAGAGCTGAATTAGTTCGAGATATCTCGAGATCACTTCGATTTCTTTGATTTATTCTTTAACTTTTTCGAGGAAGAAAGAATAAATAAAAAATAAAAATAAGACCGGACTACTTCATGATATCTTGAGATCACTTCGAGTTTAGTCTTTAATTACTCGAGGAATAAATAGAGGATATTTCGTGGCCGCGCAGACACACGAAATTTCTCTTCGAGTTTTGAAAAAAGTGAGCCCTCCTTTCGAACTGTTTTATGAGGAATTTAAAGTTACAAAATGCTGCACAAAGACATTTTGTCTTTGTTGAGTGTTACGTAGTAAAATTGCTTTCATGCGTTGCGTGACTTTCTTGAACGTTCTCTACGTTTTTGGATTACCATGAATAATTAATTAGGTCATGTTTACATTTCAGCATGAGTCAGCAGATTTGCATCAGTTACTAAAATCATAACATATGTCGAAAAGCTACTACTATTCGCCTGTTTTGTATTTTCTAGGACCTTATGTCAAACGGTATACAAGTTCCAAGCGAGTTGTTTTGACGAACTAAGTTTTTCCCGCGAGCTGGACTGCTGTGTTTAGTCAAGTGTGCCGAAGGTCGATTTTCAGGTTCTGTGTTTACAAGTTCGCGGAAGTCGTACGATATCTGAAGTTCAAGTGAGAGTTTGTTATTATTGGTAGAGGCGTTTTAGTTTTACTTAAGTTCAAGTCAAGTTTGTATTGGCGGATGCTGTGTTTTAAAGTTCTGAAAAGGCTATGTTCCTTTGGTATTAAACTTCCTTGTGATAATCCGACATTCCTGCGTGCTGGTAGTCAGTAAATAATTATATCCTCAAAACATTCGAACTCGTAACAGCCAATTCCATGCTCAACGTAATTGACTCCTTACCCATGCCTTACATATCTTTAATCAGTACATGAGACAGCTATACTGTTTTTGAAGCCTGATGTGACTAAGAAAAATAGAGAATTCTTTTTTCACTGTTTGTTTTGTTAGACTTGTTATTCACCGCCAGTAACCTCATATTTGACTTAGGTCTAAACGTTTAGACCCAAGTCAAATTTAGAAGGATTTGTATGGAGTCATCAGGGCATAACTGGGCTAATATCTCAGACACAATTTGTCCCGAAATGCTAGTTTTTGACAAGTAGGCCCCTTGGATGTTGCTCGTTTCAGAATATCCTGACAAATCCCATAATTTCACAAATTAACACCTTACTCTTACCATATTTCATTTCTTACTATTCCTCCGCATTTACAATTAATCAGTTCCCAACCACGACGCCGAAGTGTACGCTCCGTAGCGTCTTGTTGGGGTTAATTTCCCATTCTTTTATACAATTATTGTATAAAACAATGGAAAATTAAACGGCCACCTCTATCAAACGACTGTTTCTATCTTACTTTGGGACTTTGATCACTGGCCGGTTAGTGGAGAGTGGCTGCTAAATTATTGTTGGCCACTTAATAGAGGTTCAACAGTATCAGTTAAGAAAATGAAACCAAACTTGTTTTTTAGCTAGCACCAACACGTTTTTTAGGTATTGATTTTAACACTTGGCTTCTAGGTTAAAGGATCTTTCAACAAATTAAACAGTTCTCTGGACACTAGTTACCATCAACCTTGTATTTTAGTTTTCTTTCAACTTATAAGTATTAGTCATAGTGTGTCAATGGAGAGTCTTCAATAGCAAAATCTATGGCAGTGTTTTTCTTCTTTTATGTGTTTCCTAGAGTGCTTGCCATTTACACAAACGACCTACAGTGTAGGCACAAATCTTGTATATGAACATAAAACTATAAAATTTGACTTGGTGGGGAAATGACCTGCTGCATTGTATATCCAGATCAGCTGAACAGACTAAAAGGGGTGGAAATATTGATTCTTCTCAAATTGCAGCCCATATTATTTTTCCAAAGCTTCCCAAACGGAATGGCATGAACCATTTGATTTTCCATCTGAAATTTCCATGTTAATGGTAAATACCCCTAATCTCACATATTTCTACGTGTATGTTTTGTATTGCTTTCAGGAGAATCCACTAATGGCTCCCTTACATCTCGGAGCTGTCATGTGAAAGAAAAGGTAGACTGTCATTTGTCTGGACCCTGTGTTAATGATGATAATGACTGTGGAGAACAAGGTCAATTCTGTTATACCATGTGGACGAATGTGAGTGGTAATGTCTCTGTTTCAGCAAAGGGTTGCTGGCAACAAAATGATAATTGTCTAACACAAACTTGTACATCATCAACAAGACATTTTAAAGGCAAGGATTATTATTTCTGTTGCTGCAATACAGACTTCTGTAATGAGCCGTTTGGTCTTGAGCGTGTGCCTATGCATCCTAATGCAACCAGTAACGGTAAGTTGGAATATAGTAGATTTCAGAATTCTATATGTGACATGTATTCTCTTAGCTAACAAAATGTGAGCTCACACGGGAAAAGGTACGCTAACAGCTATCTGTTAAAACGGCAGAAAGCGTTAGATATCCATTTGTTATCCGCTAAAACGCTTTATCAAACCACTAATCCATTAGACGAAATGTTTTCATTTTAATCCACTCCATTAAGACAGTAATGCCCATCCATTAGATTAATATACCAAGCTGTTTAAACGGCAAACACTATCCATTTTTTTGGAACATCACAGGCTGTCTAAACACTATCACTAACTTAAGCTCTTGGACAAGAACGGAAGATTTATGTTAGAAAAGTTTATCTCTTTCTATTCCTTACTCTTGTTACAGCCTTTGTGACTTCGCAATATCAAGCTTGCAAATTCTGATCACTTAAAAACCTCGAGGCAGCATCACTGTGTAAAACTTCAGAGTGCACATCTCAAATTATCGCATCTGAATGCAATTCCAATACTGGCAAGTCTTTAAAGCTTTTCCAACTTTGTTGAGCTTGATTGGCGGGAAAATCTACACTCTGCTGAGGGATCTTCTTGCACCGGAGAAGCCAGCTACAAAGTCCTTTCAACAGACTGATAGTTACCACTCTCCAGGAGCATTTGAGTTCCGAAGCCCTTTGAAATTGCAGAAAAATTTCGTTTCTACAAGAGAAACCATCATGAAGGAGAAAGCATTTTGTCTTACGTGGCCAGGCTAAGGAAGCTGGTGACACACTGTAATTTTGGCTAGAATCTGAATGCAGCACCCCCTTTCTTATGAAGTAGAAGTCAAACCTGGCTTAGTGTGGCATACTTGACACACAGACCAACTGAGGGATACCAGAATTCCAGTGACACCAAGCAGCAACCCTGTCACCCAGACCTCAGAACTTCCAACCCAGGTTGAGAGTCGTGAGGACCCAGTGTCTGAGGTCAGTGAGCAGCCAGCAACATGGAGACTGATGTTCTGCCACCAAGTCCACCAAATATGAGTGACCCTGTTCCTGAACATTTTGATCAGCTGTTTGTGGCTCAAGGGATGCTTTCCTCAAGTCTCGAATAGTCTCAAACAATAAAGGAAAACAAGATGGGAAATGTATGTAACATACATACCTTTTCATGTAAACAACCCATATTTAATAAAGTATATGTAGGGTTTTAACTGCATAAAGGTCAATTTTTGAGCTTCGAGTTGAATGTCTTGAATGTGGCTAAATGTAATTTAGGCAAAGTTAACCTCAAAGCAATGCTGGTCAGCAGTTTTTCCAGCCACACTGGGGGTGGCCCAATGCCTGTAGCAGGGGCATCTCGTGACTTATATACGCAGTTGCTTGCTTGCAGTTCTTTGCAAAGTGTTGTTGCAATAGCTTGCTGTTTGTGTGCCATTAAAAGGGCTCTCCACAGACACATACATTTGGTACGTCTCTTAGCTGCCAGTCATACCTTCGATGGACTGCATCTTTAAATTCTATTTTGTTGAGATTTAAGTCCATTTCCTTTACCAGGATGACAGTTAATCAACTTGAAGCACCTTTCTCTGCTGCGAAATCATTGAACATCCATAAAGCCGCCGACCCTGATAGTCTACACCCTATGATACTTAAACCTCTACCTGAAAATGAAAACTTTGTTAACGCCTTTACAGTTCTCTTTCATGCTGTCGCAAGTACATGCTGCAGGCCCAACCCATGAAAGGGCACAATAGTCACTGCCTTACACAAGAAAGGTCCACTTAATGATGTATGCAGTTTTAAACCTATTTCTCTTACTTGCATTTTATGTAAAGTATTTGAGAGATTACTTTACAGACATCTCTAGACCCGCGTACGTGACACATGGCTTCGTCCACGATAAGTCATGCATTTCTAACCTTTTGGAAACAGTACATGAGATCAATACCATTTTAGAGAATGGGGAAGCAGTAGACCTTGTCTACTTGGACTTTCAGAGAGTGTTCCATAAAGTTCCACATGAGCGACTCCTGTTGAAGTTAAAAGCACATGGGATGACCGGCCAATGCAACAACATTATTCAAAATTTTCTTACTGGTAGAACAATGACAGTCCATGTAGGCGATGAATTATCCTCATGGGAACCCGTACTATCTAGGGTGCCTCAGCGTTCTGTTTTGGGGCCCCTGCTGTTTCTTTTGTTTATTAACAATATTCCTGCTATAACAACGAATATAACCACGCTATTTGTTGACAACTCAATGCTAATAGGGAATGCACGATCACTTGCGACCATTCAGTCAGACTTACACACTGCTTATCCCAGTGGGCTGACTTGTGGCAAATGAAATTTAATGAATCTAAGTGTAGAATTTTGCATATTGGTAAAGACAACCCTAAGAATAACTACATGATGGGTCATACACCCTTGCAAGTGGTTGAAAAGGAAAGAGATCTGGGAGTGATTGTTTCAGCTGGTGATACCCTTTGTTGGGAGGAACAAATACAAGGAATGATTGGAAAAGCAAAACAAATGACGTCTTGGATCATTGGGAATGTTTTATCGAGGAAACCAGAAGTGCTAATACCATTTTACAAAGCTTTCGTCAGACACCATTTGGAACACGCAGTGCAGGTGTGGGTCCCAACCGCAAGACACGGAAACTGGGGTATTATAACGGAAATTGAGGACTACCAAAGACAGTTTACCAGGATAATTGAGGGCATGGGCCCACTCTCTTATCATCTAAGGTTACAGCATCTCAGATTAACGACTTTACTGGAACGTCGAATGCATAGTGACTTAATCAAGACCTTCAAAATAATCAATGGTTTTGTGAACTATGGGCACATTACGTTTGGGACGAATACAGCTTATCGAACTCGAAATTTTAATGTCACTTCTCATCATCCGTTAAGATCAGCACCTGACTTCTCTAACAATAGAGTTATCAAATATTGGAAGCAGCTGCTACTGCGCGTGCAAAATTCAACAAGTATCAACGCCTTTAAGGCTGGTTTTGACCTCTTTAAGTTATCTAAACCTGATTCACCTAATGGATTCTGGAAATTATCAGAAGAAATCTTTAATGGAATACGCGATAAAAGTGAACATGTCAATTATTTACTAGCCAATCGCGATGTTGCCATGCAGCAAAATATCTTGTTTTAAATATCTCATTTTAATAATTAATTTTGTTGTTCTTTGCTTTTAGTATTTTTCTGATTGTAGTACTCTTATGATAATACATTTTTTACTTTTTATCACATGTTCATAATAATTTTGTAAATAGATTTTTGTAAATAGAGATATCCTGAAGAGAGATAATAAAGTTATCTTATCTTATCTGCGAGATCGACTATTCTCCTGGTCTTCTCAGGTAGGGAATTCCTTAGGTCTTCTAATTATTTATCTTCCAGTCTCCTAAAATAATACTAAAAGAACATTGTTTACCCTGGATGATTGTGTCAGTTTAGAAAAACTGCTATCAATGCAGGTCCTGCTAATGAAATTAATCTAGCTAAAAAACTAAAAGGAAAAAAAAACACTGACAATAACAGTATACAAATCCAAAAAGTTAAAATTGATGCTAAAAACTTTTTGTATAATATTAATACGAATTAAGACTTATTAAAATTAGTCTACATAATTTTTACATAAAGTCTACATAGCTTTTCCTATTTGAAGTTTATATAGATACTCTCAAGGTTCAGAATTCGTATTATTGATGATGGTATAAACTGTACTTATATAGCTTTCTTTCCTAGTTTCTTCTTCTGAAGCCACAAAAGTTAGTGTCACCTTGACAACAAGTCCTCCACCACCAGGAACCAAAGACAAGACCATACAGACTTTGCTGTATTTACTTCCGGTACTTGCATTGGTAGGGGTCTTGGTAGTTGGATTTTTCATTTATCGCAGGCATAAGACAACTTTTCCATCTCGAATTTTTGAAGAGGAGCCTCTCAACTCTATTCCACCACCTTCTCCAGATCTTGGTGCGAGGCCAATTCAGTTACGCGAGCTTATTTCTCAAGGCCAGTTTGGCAGAGTATGGAAAGCAGACTATTTACAAGATACTGTCGCAGTGAAAGTTTTCTCATCGTTCCACAAAGCAGCGTGGGCCTGTGAAAAGGAGTTTTACAGTTCTTGCAACATGAAACATGAAAATATTCTTAACTACATCGCAGCTGAGAAACACTCAGATGGGCAGTTTGTGGAATATTGGTTAATAACAGAGTACCATGAGAGTGGTTCACTTGCTGATTATCTGAAGGGCCATGTTATTAGCTGGGCTGAGCTATGCAGCATGGCGGGGAGCATGGCCAGTGGTCTTGCCTACCTTCACAGTGAGATACCTGGAGCTTTTTTTAAGCCCTGCATTGCTCATAGAGATTTTAAAAGTAAAAATGTACTTGTCAAAAGGGACCTTACCTGTTGTCTTTCTGATTTTGGACTGGCAATCAAGTTTGAGATGGGAGAGGACCCTGGGGAGACACATGGTCAGGTAAGTGAACTCTGCAGATCATAGAGTACTGTTCAAAAGTAAGGTGACACTCAAATCTTAATCCTTGCAAGAATCAGATTTTCAGGGTTTCTCTATGTTTATATTACAAAAGCAAGAAAAAAATAGAACGAAATTAATATTTTATTACATAAATCATGAAGGGTGAAATGTGTGAAGTGACCAAAGGAGCTTAGGCTTTCGAGTTGGTCAATGCTATAAGCAATTAACTGGTGTAGACTTTTACATTTGAAAAATACAAGTGGTGTACAAGGAAAATTAAAAGTGCAAAAAGTTGTACTTAAGTTTTTTTATACAAACAACAGAACAGAAATTATTATTGGTAGTGTGACCAGAGAAATCAAATTATTTATTGGGTATTTAAAGGTAAAGTTTTTATTGTTTATAGAAAAAAATGGAGAATCGAGACTTGATTCTCAATTGTTGCGTCTCAATTCTCAATACTCAATTCCTGCAAGACTCATCAAACCAGAACAGCCTTTGTTATATAATTTCAAGTAAATGGCTCTCTGTTCTCGAGAATTGCTGTGAGAATCTACGGTCTTTGTTCAAGTTTTAAGTATCATTTTACATGTACATGTACCTCTCTCACATTTCTCAAACACCTGAACAGATTATGCAAATTCAAGATGTAGTTGAAGCTCTCATAAGCGACCACCTTGGAAATTTGAGCTGGTCACTTATGAGAATGAGCTCTCGTAAGTGACCACATGGTAAAACAATAGAGGGTGGTTGCTTATGAGAGCTTCAAAAAACCATTAATAATTCATATTAATGTTTAATGAGTGTCTCTATATCTGAAACAGAATTTTGCCACTTTAATACCCAAAAATAAAAGAACCTGTTTAGCCAAGCAAAATCAAGCGGGTTGTTTTATGTGTGTTATTATGATAAACGATATAACCAAGGAGTGTAACTTTGAGTTGTAAATTTAAGTATAACAACAACATGCTGTACTAAACTGCATGTAAATTTGGTAATCAGTTTTGTTAGGGTTATAATAATAAAATTGTGAATAAATGAAAAGTTTATTTGTTTCTCTGGTAATCAACAATCTATTTTCTCATTCATAAAAATTAGTATAGGTACTGATCTTTGGCATAAATATCACGAGTGATATTTCAAAATTGTTAAACATAATTTCACGAG